GTCCTCATTTTATCAACCTCAGAAGAATAGAAGGCTGAGACAATCTTGAGCCGGTGAGATTTGAACAGCCGAACTGCAGATAACAGTCAGCTGAAGTGGCCTGCAGTACTGCACTTTACCCACTGCGCCACCTCGGAAGTGGCTCTCTCTCTCTCTCCCTCTTTTTAAAAATAATCTTACAATATTTATAATTATATAATTAATTTATAGCTTTTATTAAGGCTGTGAAAGAAACTTCTTATGAATCCCTATATAGCAATAGCAGTTAGACTTATATACCGCTTCATAAGGCTTTCAGCCCTCTCTAAGCGGTTTACAGAGTCAGCATATCACCCCCAACAACAATCCAGGTCCTCATTTCACCCACCTTGGAAGGATGGAAGGCTGAGTCGACCTTTGAGCCGGTGAGATTTGAACAGCCGAACTGCAGATAACAGTCAGCTGAAGTGGCCTGCAGTACTGCACCCTAACCACTGTGCCACCTCGGCTCCTCATATGCCCCGCCCTCTGCACATGCGCCCCCTGTATGCATCCTGCACTGTGCATGGGGGGGGGGACTGCACCCCCCATGCATGCACAGCAGAGACCTGAGAACCAGCTGGCCGGTGGGAGGTCCGTGTATATGCGCGTAGGAGCTGAATTAGGGCAACGGCTCACGTATCCACACAGGGCGTGGTGTGCCATCTGTGGCACGCGTGGCATAAGTTTGCCATCAGGGACTTTGGAGGTTCTGGACTCAGCTGTGGTTTCTCCGTAGCTGCATGAAGACAGATTTTTTTTTGGGGGGGGGGGAAGGACCCCACTTGCTTACCCCACTTGTCTCCCGCAAGGACCGGGCAGCCGGCGTGGAGGGTGGCGTCGTCCCCTTCCCCGTTCCTCCGCAGGTTCCACCAGAAGAGAGCGGCATTCTTGGAAAAGACCAGAAGGGGGGGGGCTAGAGATGGGGGTCCGCTCGGAAATGGCCCCCAACCCAGGCAGAAGGAAGGGGGGAGGGGCTGGAGAAGACAGGAGAAGAGTCGCAGAGGAGAGGGGGGGCATAAACACTCCAGGAGTAAGAGAGCGAGTGGATGAATGCATGAATAAGGGAATGCATGCGTGAGCGAGTGAGTGAGTGAATAAGTCAGTGAATGAATGAATGAATGAATGAATGAATGAATAATTGACAATGAATGAGTGAAGGAATGGATGAATGGGTGAGGGAATGGATCAATGAGTGACTGTGAATTCATGAATGAGGGAATGGATACATGAATGAGTGGATGAATAAATGAATGAGCAAGTGAGTGAATGAATGAGTGAGTGACAGAATAGATGAATGAGTGAATGAATCGATGGATGAATGAATGAGTGAGGGAATGGAGGAATGTATGAATGATTGAATGGATGGATGGATGAGGGAATGAATGAGGGAATGGATGGATGAATGGATAAATGAGGGAATGGATGAATGAATGAATGGGAATAGATCAATTAATGGATGAATGAGTGAGTGAAAATGAATGGATGAGTGACTGACTGAAAAAATGAGGGAATGAATGAATTGGGGAATGGATGAATGAATGAATGAATGAGGAAATGAATGAATGGATGAAGGAAGGAAGGAAGGAAGAAAGGAAGGAATGAGGGAATGAATGAATGGGGGAATGGATGAAGGAAGGAAGGAAGGAAGGAATGAGGGAATGAATGAATGAGGGAATGGATGAATGAATGAGGGAATGGATGAATGAATGAATGAGGAAATGAATGAATGGATGAATGAATGAGGGAATGGATGAATGAATGAGGGAATGCACGAATGAATGAGGAAATGAATGAATGGATGGATGAATGAAGGAAGAAAGGAAGGAAGGAATGAATGAGGGAATGAATGAATGAATGAGGGAATGAATGAATGAATGAGGGAATGAATGAATGAA